AACCCTTCTTTTTATTTAGACAGAAAAGAGGAGATGATGGGAGATGCCATTCTGTATATGTTTCTCATACTGGTTAATAATAAAGCACTGTTGGCCAATAGGAAAGGAAGATAGGAGGGACTAGGAGACAAGGAGGAAATAGGAAGTAGGAAGGAGGAGTCAAGATGGAGAGTCTGGAGAAAGCAGTATGCCGCCGGCTCCCCGGTAAGAGAAATACATAGATCAGCAGAAATGGATTAATAATTAAGGCAGAGCTAGCCGATAAGAAACTAGTAACTGGCCAACAGTATAATATCTAATACAGAGTCTCTGTGTATTATTTGGGGCTGGTGCGGCGGCGGGACAAGACCAGCGGCGGCGGGCGGAAAAACCATACACATTACACTCATCAATCTCATTATCAGGGAAGGGCATTTAAGGTAGCCTTTCCACTGTTGCTCAGATTGTTAGTTAGGGTCAATCTGTAGGTCTCTGAACATTTCTCTAGAGTCAGTTTTCTCATTTTATGGAACTTTTATCCAGTAATCCATAGGTAGTAATTCACCTCTATAGAAGGTGTTAGAAGTCTGAAAAGGTTAACCCAAGAAGATTCAAAAAATAAATAATTACACAATGGTAAATCAAAAGAGGGTTAAAAACCACAGCATAACAAGAAAATAACAGGAATCAATAAACACAACTCATTGATAACTCTCAATACTAATAGTTTCAATTCCCCAATAAAAAGACACAGACAAACACATTGGGTTGGAAAATGGGATCCATCTTTCTGCTGCATCTTAGAAATATACCTTATCATCAAGAATATACATCAACTTATAATATGAGGGTGGAGGAAGGTATTCCAAGAAAATAAACCCAAAAAACCCAAATAAAGCCAAAAAACAAGTAGATGAAGCCATTTTAGTATGGGATTAAACAGACTTCAAACTAAGAGTAAACAGAAGTGTTGTGAAAGGACAATATATAGTTACGAAAGAAAAAGTTCCAAGAGGACAATGCAATTCTAAAAATTTATGAATCAAACACAGGGGCACCAAAATTCATAAGAAACACTATTACAGCTAAACCTAAATATCGACACTTATGGGGTTACTTCAATGCCCCACTTACCAATAGACATGTCACCCAGACAAAAGTGAAATAGAAAAATACTGGTGTTTGAATAACATTATAAATCAAACAGACCTTCAGACATGTAATATCCAAACACAAAAGAATATACTTTCTTCTCAGCATTTCATATACTTGGACACAAAGTAAGCCTCAGTTGTAAAATAACTCTCTACATCCTATCTAACCACATAGAATTTCAGCAATAGAAACAACAGAAAATATACAAGCTCCTGGAAATTGAATAGATACTATTTAATGAAATATAGGTCAAGCTGGAAGTAAGAAATAAGTTTAAAACCTTTTAGAATTGAATTAAAATTAAAACACAACATACCCAAACCTATGGGGCATAATGCAGGCAGTTTTAATAGGCAAGTTCATAGCACTAAGTGCCTATATGAAAACTGTAGAGATTTCATTAGAACTGCAAGAAATAATACACAAAAAAAAGAGAAATAATCAATGAACCAGCAGAAAATAAAAATCAGGACTAAAATCAACAAAATAGAAACAAATAGAACAAAACATGAAAACAACTAAAATGATCTATGAAACAAAGAGTTGTTTCTTTAAAAAAAAAATCCAACAAGCAAGATTGGCCGACCCTTAGTCAAATTAACTAGAAGATGGAGAGAAAAGATCCAAATTAATAAAATTAGAAATGAAAAGGGAGACATTACAACAAAATAAACATTATCTCCAATTGTTAGAAATTATTTGGAACATGAAAAATCAACAAATGAAATATATTCATAATATACAAATATTTAAAACATCAGTAAGAAAAAAAATCTAATTATAAAACATATAATTTTGATAGTCAATTCATAGGGAAATCTATCAAAAAGCATGTGGATTTCCCCAACTCCGTTGTTGATAAAGAAATATAAATTAAAGCAATGAGGTTTTATTACTCATATTATCAGAATATTTGATATTAAAAATAACAGCATTATCAACTCTCAAAGCCCATTCCCTTTAGAGTGATAGCTTGCTCAGCCTAGATACAGGGGGAGGGCCTTGGTCCTGCCTCAATATGATGTGACAGATTTGTTGACTCCTCATGGGAGGCCTCATCCCCTCTGAGGAGTGGAATGGGTGTGGGTTGGGGAGAAGATGGGGGGATCAGGAGGATGGAGGGAGGGGGACTGGGATTGGTTTGCAAAACAAATAAAAAAAAATAGTTTTGAAAAATAAAAGCAAGCCAGGTGTTGGTGGCACACACCTTTAATGCCAGCACTCAGGAGGCAGAGGTAGGTGGATCTTTATGAGTTAGAGGCCAGCCTGGTCTATAAGAGTGAATTCCAGGACAGCCTCCAAGGAGAAACTCTTAGAAAAAAGTGTAAAGTGACATCAGTTAGAGTGTAACTATGTATTTAATTAGGAGAAGGTATTTGGTATTACCTATTACTGTTAAAATTGAAAATACACAGACTCCATGGTGCAGCAATAACCAATCTTACTCATACATATAAAATGTTCACTGACAGACATAAATAAAAGTATCCACACTTCATTCATAGTTGCTCCTACACTCTGTTTCTATCAAGAGTAAAATGCTTAATACACAGGGTACATTTGTATATTACATAAAAATAAAAATGAATAATAAAGCTATATCAAAAACTTTTGTGAGTTATACAAAAAGAATATTGCAAAGGGGCCTCATGAAGGATCTCTTTTGTATACATTCAACAACAGGAACACACTTCATTTGAGAAGGAGGATATCAAGCCTTCATAGAGACATGAGAGTAGTAATCGGAAAAGAGCAGAGTGGATTCTGGGGTCAGCTCAGTTGTTTGCTAATTGGGTGTTTCTGAGTAATAGTTCAGTGAGTTGTGCAAGTGTTAACCTATGTTTTAGCACCTGTGAATGTTGCTATCATACTGAGGAAAATAAAAAAAATTTAAATATTTCCTATCTTTCACCAAGTTGGGAGTTAAAATAGGAGGAAGAAGCTATTACCTATCAAAAAAAAAATAGCTCTTTCAATTTAGGTTTTTCTATATCTGTTTCATTTCACCTGAAGTGTGCATTCAACTTGCCATCTAAACCTAGAAAAGTCATCTAATTCCAAGACTGTACTAATACACACAGTATATTTGTGTACCACATTTTAAATAACTGGCTAATAGAGTTTATATTCTCAAATTTATTTCTACTGCTTATAGATTAATCAGCAATAACTGACATAATCCTCTTTAATCTTCCTGTAACATTCTTTGAGAGGCTGAAGGGAAAAAATCAATTTTCTGAATTTCATTCAATGTAATTCATATTTTCAGTGACTGTAAGTTCACTCTTCAAACTGGTCATTCTAAAATACTCATTAACATTTCCACATAAAAACAACATTTAATTTACACAAAGTGAGTAAAGGATGACTCAAAAATTAATAAGATGTTAAACTGAACAGTTTCCATTTGTTACAGTAAAGAGAAGTATTAAATATTTGCCATAACATTTTCATGAAAACTACTGTATTTATTGACAACAGCATCAAAAGTAAGGGGACAGGGTAGGGGTAGTCAGTAAACTGCTTCTTGAGCAAGCATGACAACTTGAGTTCAGATCCCCAGAAGGCACATATAAGCCAGGTCTGGCAGCACATGTCTACAACCCCAGAACTATAGGAAAGTGAGAGACAAGGACTCCTGGTACTTGCTGACCAGCTAGTCTACTGACTGGTGAACTCCAAGTTCACAAAGAGGCCTTCTCTTGGGAAAAATAAAGGTGATGGCAACTGAGGAAAACACCTGTCAGAGCTTCTGACCCTCCATATGGATGCACACACACATATATGAATATGCATATGGACACACACACACATACACACAAAGAAAAAAGTGTATATACACATGAACACATAAACTTAAAATTGTTTAAAAATTCAAGTGATGTAACCTTATTTGTTGTTAGAAAATATTTTCTGTAATCAAACATCCTCATTGCCACCACTGCACAACCAATCACTTTTTAACATTCTAAGAAATCACATTCCAGCTACTGGTTCTGGTTAACTGAAAGCAGTCATCACTTGTCTGTGGCATAAGAGTACTCACTCTTAGCTATATAGAAGGTCTTTCCTTCAAAAATAGTCAGGTTCTTAAAACCCCAAGGCACATAACAAACGGCATTATGTCTGATGGTATGGAGCATGTGCCAGGTGAGAGAATTCTCAGGATACCAAACTCCAAACACTTCTCCAAAGACATTGTTAAATTAATGGCTGACCTAGAAATTGTAACTCAAATTATTCAATGTTTCACTGACTCACACACCACTTTACAACATATGGTGTGAAACACCCAGATTCCAGCAGATAAACCTCATGCTCCATGGAGTCTTTCTGTTTATTCTTCAAGTCTGTGGAAAGTAAATTCTGAACAAATTTGAGGCGCTTGCAGTAATACCTTATAATATTTTCTTTGAACACCTTCAGAATATTTCTTTGAAGCTTTCTCTCAGTATAGAAATATTTATCATATGTATTCACTATACAGAATATCAAATCTCTAAATGAGTGTGATAGTGTTTAGAAGATGGTTTCAATCTCAACATGTGGCTGAGTATTTGATTTTACCCATTGTAGGATAGTTTTCAAGCAAATGACTGATCCTACTAAAGAAACATGGAAAAAGTGATGTGCAGTAAGTTTTGTCATTTAGAGACTATCCCTGAACCAGTGTAGTCCATAAAGAGACAGATCTTAGGTCTAAACCTCTGTAAAGATACTCAAACAGTTTGGGAGGAAATATATATATTTATTTTATATATATATATATATATATAATATATTTATATTTATTATATATATTATATATATATTTATATATATATATTGGGGGAATAATTTAATAAAACGAGAAGAATGATACTTACCAAAAGAAGGTGACTCTCGTCCATCCTCTAGTCCCGAATCTCTCTCTCTGTCCCTCTTTCTGTGCTTATGACCACGATGCCTGTGACGACGATGGCTTTTTCTTCCACCCAGGGGCACATGAACTCCAATAAATAATGTTCGATGACCTTCATTACAAAATAAGTGCACAAGTTAAAACTCTCACTATTCCAGAACATAGAAGATGATGGTTTCCATTTTTAAGGGAACTAAGTTCAATTTAATTCAGAACAGTAAAATACTTTTGAGTGTTTTTGGTGCATAAAACTTAGTGCATAGTATTACATTTTAGTATAGTTTTCTTTTAAAAGATACTTAGTTCAATATACCACAGATGTAAAGCCAAACATTAATAATATTAGGTATTTTGCAACTACCTTTATTATTAACTATCTTAATGATTTCTCCAATATCATTCACTATACTATAATTATAATTATAGTCTTCATTAGAAAAGATATCTGGCTGGGCGGTAATGGTGCATTCCTTTAATCCCAGCCCTTGGGAGGCAGATGCAGGCAGATCTCAGTGAGTTCAAGGCCAGCCTGGTCTACAAAGTGAGATCCAGAACAGCCAGGACTGTTACACAGAGAAATCTTGTCTTGGAAAAAGAAAGTATATCTGCTTTCTCCCTTTACTTCATTGTTTGATTTTACCTATTTACAATAAAGATTACAATAATGTCCCAACTAATGACAAGATTTTTTTTTCAGTCATTATCGTTATTGTGTTTTGTTTCATTCATATTGTTTCCTTTGTTGATTCCTCTTGCATTTACTCATTAAAATCGGGGGAATTAATTGTCTATCCTTGTGAGTGTGTGTGTGTGTGTGTGTGTGTGTGTGTGTGTGTGTGTGTACATGCTAAAGATTCTAAGACCTATTCTTTGATGTCAGACTTCTCTCTTAAACTCACAATCTACAGATTTCCCTATCTACTAGACATATTCACTTAAACAACCTTCTCAGGGGCATGTCTTTATCAATAAGTCTATGAAACAGATATTTTTTTTGTTCCAAGTAGGAACTGTTATATATTGTAATGAATATGCCACCTATCTATTCATTGCATGCTCTCTTCAGTATCCTGTGGTATTGTCTAGTTCTGGACTATCATCATCTGTCATAAAGGTTATTAGAACATCTATCATCCCTTTATGCATTACATGTAGGTGTAGCATCAATAGTGAGGTAATTTTTATGGAAAGTTTAAGATCTTATTCTAGATTACATCCTAAGTAAGGTGGGTAGGGCTGGAGAGGAGGCTCAGCCATTAAAGACTATGCTCACAAACAAAATAGACAATGAGGGTCTATATTCTAATTTGAATAACCTACATATCTAGAATTTACTTTAAATATCAAATTAGTTCATTGGATTTTACCTAACTGCTTTAATCCTTATGTACAAAGAAAAAGTTGCACATAAATAGCTATAGTAATTTTATTCCCAGCTACATATGTCACTTAATAGGAATAAGTACATTTATTTTCTAAGAAAAAATAAGGAATTAATGAAATTTTTACAAATAAATAAAGCACAACTTCAAAAAATTTTATTGTGTTATTCCCTTAAGAAAACACAGCTCTAAAAACTTTCCCAAGTGCAAAATACTACATAGGCCATGATACCAATACCTGGAGCTATATGTCTCCTCCCAAACTTCATATATTAAATATTCAACCCTGATTGTGACTATTTTGGAAGCTGGGCATTCATAGAAGCAATTACAGTTAAACAATGTTATAAACAACTTAGATCCAACTAGCATTCTGAAAAGAAGAGACAGTAAGGACACCAATCAGTTTCTCAGTAGAGACACAGGAGTGATATGAGAATATAATGAGAGACTGCTGCCTACAAGTCAAAGCAAGATTCAACCTACCACTGCCATAGACTCCCAACATCTAGAACTGTAAGAAAATTAAATTCTATTGTGTAAGCCATTCTGTAGCATCTTGTAATTGCACTCCTAGCTAACTAACACACAGAGAGAACACTAACTAAAATTCTTATGGTAATGTTAAATTTCAGGAGACATTTCATTAAATTATGTGATTTATTAGATATTGCATGAATATTAGTTAGGCTGATAGTGTTTCCTTCAAAGGAATAAATGATCTACATAGTTTTAGTGGCTATGAATATACTAAAATTATGTTTTTAATTTAAAAAATATGAATATTTATTTTGAGGCAGAATCAAAATACCTCTAAGTTCTAGAAAGATTAGAACCAAGAAATTATATTCTTCTAACCCTGAAAGAAAATCTGATGTTATGTTTATACATTAGTTAGTGATATTAATAGCATTAACCTGACATTATTATAGATCAATCCTCTGAAAAACACCAAGATAAAAATAGTCTCTATTGTTTGTTTGTTTGTTTTTGTATTGCTGAATGGATCCACATAGGTAAGTAAAAACAGAAGTTGTTCCAACTAATTCACTTCAGAATGCTAAAATGCACAGCTTTTACTGGTAATGAGGACTTTAGACAAGAAATAAAGAATATTAATTCATATCTATCTGCATCTCATCTTGTTTATCACTGCACTCATGATGACATTGCTCTGAGATGAGGCAAATTAAAAAGTAGCAACTGAAAGTCAGCTTTCTGAGCTTGAGTCAAACGCTTACATTCAAATCTGCCACATGTTTGTATAAGCTTGTTTAGTAAACATAGAATAAGAACAATTAACATGAACTTCACTATAAAAGTTGCTTCTGATGCCAAATTCTAATGTTGTGTTTTTGAATTAAATAAAGAACATAAATACTTAAAATTTACTGATATTCAGGAGATTTTCTACAAAGGTATATCACACCTTGACCTTTTGGCTAAGATGACATATATGTAGTATGTACAAGTATGCAGATAATAGAATGGATAGGACAAAATGTTGAACAAAGTATCTATTACACAGAAGACAATGATATTTGTTATTTTCCTTTCTGTTCACACTGCCAACCATCAAGGGCCTAATGGAATGAGAAGGGACAAGAAAATGTCTTCCTGTTTATTTCTATATTAACCCTTGCTTAAGAAACAAAGGAATCACTTTAGATCATCTGTGTTTCCCACAATACATATCCAACACTGCATTTTCTCATCCATCACTTAAGAAGAAAAAGAATTCAAGAAACTAATGATGGACAAAACAGACAAATGGAAAAGAGCCCAAGGAAAGGCACAATGAACATAGACCCATTCATTTCCACGCTCAGGAATCCCATAAAAACATTAAACTAGAAACAATAATATATAAGCAAAGGACCTGTAGGGTAAAAGAGAAAATAAATATAAAATTAAAGTGATAAGATAAAATCAACAAGAAAAAGGGAAAAGTTCTGACATGACATTATGAGACAAGAAATCTCCAAAGATGCTGCTGAGTTTTCTTTTGGCCGCCTACTGCTGGACATGCAGTCCACTCTTAAGAATAGTTTGTTTCCACAGTGAAACTTTCTTGGAGGAAACTAAATTTTTATTTGAAAGTGGTTATCAACTGGAATTAACTTCTGGGTTAGAGATGAGAGCATGTGTCCACTTCTCCTTTCAGCTCTAGGGACCTGTCTGGAGCAGATCCAAGCAATCCCTGTGCATGCTGCCTCAACCACTGTCAGTTCATATGTGTTGATAATGTTGATTTAGAGAACCTTATTTTTCTGGTGTCTTCCATCCCTCTGACTCTTACACCTGTGGATGCCCATAAAGATGGCTGCACTTCATCTTGGCACAAGGGCAGAGAGTTCAAAGCTGTCAGCATGTCATAAGACCTAAAGGACAAAGGTGTGCTACAGAAAGATGTTTTGGTCTGAATCTGAGGTGGCTACTCCTGACTCTCAAGGCTAGAGAAGGAGAAGTTGAATCTGAGGTATGGCTACTCCTGACCTCAAGGCTAGCGAACAAGAAGTTGGAGCTAAGGTGTGGCTACTGAACCTTTAGAATAAGTGAGGAAGAAAGTCTGTTTGTTCCATATACATGATAATGTGTTCCCCTTTTTGGTTAAGGTATGTAAGAGTGGTGAAAAATAAACTTGTGGCATTGACTGTTCTGCCCTCATGACCTTTATTCTGCCTCTCTGTCTTTCTTTATTGTCTATAGCAAGACTTTCTCTCATCCACACTCCCTCACTCAGATACGGATTTGGGGCTGCTCGGCTGTCTCCGATTGAAGCCCCAAAAAGACCGCTCCTGACATACACCCTTTCTGCCTCTTCTCCCAGGGGCTTCCTTGAGCCCTTAGTAAAGAGATTTGATAGAGACATCTCCATCCTTTTGGGAGGTGAGTGCTCCAAGGTCTCTTACTCTGCATACTGTCTAGCTGTGGGTCTCTGAATTTTTTCCCATATGCTACAGGAGGAAGCTTCTCTGATGATGGTTGAACACAACACTGATCTATAAGCATAACAGAATGTCATTAGGAGTCATTTTATTGCTTCATTAAAGGAAAACCAACCAAACAAACAAAACGCAGTAGCATTTGGTTTTATCCTAGGACCCTGGACTATCTAGTCTCAGGTTCTTGATCACCCAAGCAGTATTGATTATGGATTTCAATTCCTGGAATGGGCCTTAAGTCAAATCAGATATTGGTTATTTACTCTTACAAGCTTGTGCCACCATAGCACTACCATATCATGCAGGTAGGACATGACTGTATTTCAAAGGGTTTGTGGCTGGATTGGTGCTTCTGTTTTGCCTTTGGTGACATGCAGAGTACATTCCTGTACCAAAGATGATAGAATATAGAGGTGAGGGCTCTACGTAGCCAATTGCTCAAAGTCTCCATGTTCAATGAGTGGCATAGCTGTTGACTTCAACAATGGGGCCTTGTTTTCTGTTTGAGGAGAGCAACCTGTCTTGGCAATAGCCTGGATTATTTGGAGATTATCATGGACCACTTTAGTCAACAACTCAATCAGAAGTAAGCCAACCCCAATACTGGCAGCTTCATTTAGTGACAAGAGAATGTCAGTTGGGGGCTCTGTCCCCCCAATATTTGGCTATTTCATTTAGGTATTCATTGTATATGTATAAATATTAGAAAGCTTCTACTTGTTGGGAGATGTCCTCCTGTATATATGTTTCTCTTATTGGTTGATGAATAAAAACATTGTTTGGCC